GGGGGGGAAAGGATTGGGTGCTGATGAATAACAAGGCTGTTTTTGAAACTTTAAGAGGTCATTTGAATTCAGCTAATCTGATTAGGAACGATCAAGATTTGATAGCTTTACAACCCATTCTTTTTCACTGTAGATATTAATTTGATTTATCCATATGACTAGGCAATTTACCAATAAACCACTTAAAGCTTGCTCGGTTTTGCTGCACGAGAAAACATAATTCCGGCATAAAACTCTCCATTTTATATAACTCTAGAAGACTAATATAGTATAAAATTCCGTGTCACTAACCCATGCAGAATCTTTGTATTATTTATACAACATAAAATATCAACATGCATTAGCAATAATCCGATAAAGCTAATTCTTGGCTTGGACATCACAATCTTTGTATGACAGTCCATGTATTATTATTCATCACACAACAACCACTCATTATTATTCACGGCATAATAATCTATGTATTACAACTCCTAAGTAACTAGTAAGTGAAGCAAATAGCCTCTTATGAGTCACATAGCACATAAAATACTTTTTTATAATCGAAAAACCCTCAAGTGCCAGTGACGCACGGTTTTAAACTGGGTGGATAATGAGCCTGCCCTTCTGCCTTTTCCACTTAAATACCTGGCTTTTGTTTGTGGCAGAATTCAACCCATCACGTGAGCCTAACCCACATATCACGCGACGTTCTTATGATTGACCTACCGCAACAACAACCCAATTGTGAATCCCACAAGTGTGGTCTGGGGAGGATAGTGTGTACGCAAACCTTACCCCTAGGTCCCCTACTCCGGAGGAGTAGAGAGGCCATTTCCGATAGACCCTCGGCTCAAGAAGATGAGAAGAGATAGTGGCACAGTAATAAATCAACAAATCCTAAGGACATCCATTTAGCATCCAAGCATAAATTTTCCAGGAGCAGCAATTTAGCAGGATGACCTAATTCCTTGACACTAATATTGGAAATGCATACACAAATTTCTTTTACCAAGAAAATACACCCATAAAATTATCCATAACCACATTTAAATTACATCAATGATCCTTAAGCGATACTTCTATTCTTGCACGTCAATGATCCTCAAGCGATATATCTATTCTTGCACAGGAAGAGAACATTAGTTACTTCGATCCCCCTACCAGCTTCTCTAAAGAAAGTTATGACTCCAAAAAACATATAAATACATGGAAGACAAGCTATGGACGCTAAGATTATACTTTCAAGAATCTGGAATTCTAAGGTCATGATAATTCCAGCAGTTACCAGAAATTTAAAGAAGTTCAGGAAACTAAAGGAATACCTGAGATTCATCAAGAAGCTTCCCTCTGATCTCCAGCTCTCTCACCAGCTTGGCTACCTCCTCTGTTAAGGATTTCACCTTGGCTTCACTTTCATCCAGTAGCTTTGATTTTTCAGCTACGACACCTTGCAACTCCAGGAGAAGATCCGATCTTTCTTTAGCATCCAAATCTTGTTCACCAGTTACTTCAGAAGGTATGTCATTCTGAGGGTGGGATATACTCACAGCCATGGAACTTGTCGCAAGTGTGATATCTCCACCAGCCGCTAATCCAGTATCTTTCTTGTCTTTCACGGGAAGGTTCTCATGCTCTTCTTCACGATGTGGATCTAGCATAGATGAATCCAACTGAGGGCTTATCATACCAGAAGAATCAGTCATATTGTCATCTAAGCCTTCTTGTTCCTTAATTTGTTTAGAGCCAGGTTTGATATTTGATGAACTAGAAGCACAAGAAACCTCATCCATGACTTCAGCGGGCATATGAGGCATGTCAGATTTGCTGTCATCATTCTTCACAGCTGAAACAGTTAAGTTAGAAACACCCTCATCAGCAGAATGTGTGTGCCCTTGTGAGTAATGATCAGACAACCTCTGTTCCAACTCCTGAATCCGTTTTTCATAAGATTCACACTGAATTTGCTTCGTCTTAAGCATAGAATGAAGGTGTTTTTCGTACTCTTCTTTCAGATGTAGAGCCTCAGAGGTTTTCTCTCTTGCTTCTTTCAGTGCACTATCAATTTTACTGTCATCAAGCGATTCATAATCAAAATCAGGACAGGTAGAACACATAAAGGCTATCTTAGAAGCAAGTTCGGCCCTCAATTTTGCATTCTCCACTTCCATTTTGCTAGTTCCAGCAATATCCAGAACCTCTAAACCCTGAAGTAATCCCTCACAATCAATTTTCTCAGCAAAGTCACTTAACTCAGTTTCAGCTAATTGAGAACCGTCGTTAGACATGGAAAGCGGACTCTTTAATGTCCCGTGTTTTTCACTCCTGGAAGAGAGTCCCAACAGATACTCAGGAGCATATCGATCAATGTCTGAGATATCAACGTCAAGCAATTTAGTGTCAAAAGGAGTTATATTGACATCACAGTGGTTAGGGGTATCGTACAGTCCCATGGAAGCCAAAATATCCCGAGGAATGTATGTACTATTAACTCTCAGAAACTCCTCTCTTCTACGAACTTCGGTCTCCCTCCTGGTTGCAAGCCGTTCAGCTAATTGTCCAGCCATTCCCATGTATAGTTTCATTGCCGCTTTTCTTCGTACCACTTCAGCAAGGCATGCCCTGTAAGCAGGACCAATCCCTCGGACCACTTTTAAGTGCTCGAATAAATCGCCTTGACGCCTCAAAGCTTCCTGGAAAACAGCAAACTTGCATCGTATATCTTTGATGGTGTACTGGATATATGCTACCTTTTGCATGTAACTATGCACAAGAATGTTCATTTCATTCTTTTTATCCTTGCAGAAGTCAACCAAATTTGAGATTTCACCATCACAAGCCTGCATCTTGGGAAGGTAACTTTTCTCATGGCATTCATACATCGGTCCCAAGGCTGAAACAGCATCATGCGGACGGAGTGAAGATGATAACTGGTTGGCCAAACAGTCATCCACAAGCTTTTTTACCATATTCACATCCTTGCTGCATATAAATGAACAGAGATATCAAACATAAGAAGGCAAACTAACAGCATCTTAAAAGCTGAGTCAATAGTCATTCTTATCCAAGGAGAAACAAATTGACTATATCCAGGTAAAGCAACGAATGTACTCAAAGCAATTAATTCAACAGTCATCCTATAATCCTTCAGACTCTAAGGTTAAAAAACATCAAAATCCAGGGCTCCTTACCTTCGTCGATCCAGATCATTGTGACATGACAAAAATTGTAAACATCCTGAGCATTCTTTACATGTTCCAAATTGCTGGATATAGCTTAATAGCTAACCCAGAAAGAAATACATATGGTCTAAGGATCTATTTTGACATATAAGGAGTTGTCATCTATCAGCTACCTTCACCTCTGAAACGTGACCCCTACTGGAAAACAAAAAATCATTTGGTAAACCTAATGATCAAAGTCAAACTAATGCTTCAGCTTATAAATGAGGATGGTTCTTTCTACTAAAAATCTGAGACCACAGAAAGGTCGAACTAAACAAGAACAATATCAACGAAGGAGAGTGCTCGAGAACTTCCGAATCAGATTTCACCTCTTGTCGCTCACACGTGACTTCAGTTTTAACTCATTTGAGCCATCCGTGTAAGCAACATGACATCCACAAATAACTCGCACAGAAAGTATTTAAGTTACTGAGCTACCTTTAACCCGAAAGTCTTGCAAGGTGTAAGAGCCAAGGAAGTATCACTCACTTTAGATATCTAAAAAAATGGGCAAAAAGAAGTATCTATAACATTTTCTTAGAGAAGGTCCATCCGTTGTGCAAAAGACTATAATTCATCACCAAGAACTTCTTTCTACAAGTCTAAGTATCACCAAAACCTACATGAAGCAAGCAGAAAACTGTCCCCAAGCTTAGCCTCCAAATCAGTAGATTAGCACTGCGGACAGGTAGTGTTGTCAAATGCTCATTTAAGGTGCGCTTATGCCCTGAGCTCATAAAAAGCTTGGGAAGGGCGCTCTGCCTCGCTTAAGCTGTGCTTCCGTATAGAGAAGACACTAAGGCGTGCGCACTCATTGTCCATGAGTTCTGTCTTGAATCGAGCGGTACTAAACCACAAATATCAGCAAATAAGTGTATTAGTTGTTAAGGAAAACATTATGAATGACTTTGTTACCTTTTTCTTAAATTACATAGTGTATATTTTTATTTTTTTCCTTCATTGCGCCTTTTTCTTTTTAAAACTAAAACCCAAACTTAAATTGAGTTTTTGAGCTTAAAGCCCCAATCGACCTGGAGCGTTTTTTAGAGCTTTTCGCTTTTGACAACACTGCAGACAAGCACAACATAAATATATTGGCAGGTATGCACCACACGTAAATTAATAAGCTTCACAGAGAAAGTAAGAGAGGAAGAGGTGGAGAGAAAACCTCAAAGCCTGCATTATGCTTTTCTGCTCACTGACATATTTCTGATGGTCTCTGATAGCTAGTTCCACTTCCCTAATAATATGTGAACCTTTGGTAGAAAATAAATGCTTAGCATTGTGCTCTAGCTCTCCAAACTCGTGCTTAAATTCGGTGACTTTATTCTCAAACTGCCTATGCGAACCACTACAATCCTCTGCCAACTTCCGCAAGTTCTCTTCTTTCACGAAATCCAGCAAGCACTTGCGGTTAGCAGTCTGCAAAGCAGGATGAAGTTTGCAAGACCTCAACTTCTCAATATCCCTTCCGAAATTAGATAGCAAATTAGAATGGCTACGATATTGCTGTGAGTAACACTTTAAAAAGTCATTGTAATTTTGCACAATCATCCCATAGAAGTGATCAAGATTTCCTCTAGCAATCCCTAACGCCCGTTCCTGCACTTTTTGCTCTCTTAAAAGCCTCTCACAAGTCTCGATCCTCATTTGGGAACGGCTATAAATGGCATGACCGCGCTGGAAGTGGAACCTAAATTGCCTCTCGTAAGAAGGCAAGGCTTTTAAGGCAGGGTCAGTCGCATCATCCAAAGGGTGAGGGTCGTGAGACGACGATGGCAATGGCGGGTCAGGAATATCAATAATCTCAACTTCCTCGGGTAATGGAGGTGGCGCATTGCTCCTCATTCTAGCTTTATTAAACAAGATAACTTCCCGGTCATCCGATGGGAGCTTATAAGTACTAAGGGGACAATGCAATTCAAGTTTCACATCTAAGCACAAAAGAAGCTGATCACCAATCGGAATACCGGAAACAGATTCAAGAAATTGCTGAACAGCATCAACAAGAGTATATTCATCACAATTCAGTTCATATGATTGCCCATTCTCAGCAATATGAACCAAAAGTTTGCCTACTTGGACTACACCTGATGAAGCATTTGATGAACTCATTTTATCCCTCAAAATCTCAACCAAACAACCAAAACAAAGTTCCAAATCACAACTTCAAGACCCCAAATCCTCAAGAATTCAACCCAGAAAATCTATCAAACAGATGTCAAAGTGCCATAAACACTAAATGAAAATCACCAATTACTCAAATCCTAATAAACCCCAAAAGGGATCTCCCCAACAAGATCAGATTTTTTAGGTTAAATCTACTAAAACCTCCCAAATTGACCAAAACCAAAAACAACCCACCAAATATTTTACAATTTTTCCCAAATTTCAGCAGACCCACAAAGGAATTCAGCAATATAACTCCAAGATTTCACTGACCCACCAAACAATTCTTCACAGAAGTGCAGATTTCATACTTCAAATCACAAAAAATCACATAAAAATCCAAACTTTACAACCCCCACCCCCACCAAATCCCAGTTCTCAGAAACCCCAGATGAATATGATTCTTGTAACCAAAATAACAAAAAAGACACAATTTTTTTTTCTAATAAAAATTTATTAAAAAACACTGTACAGAACACCAAAATAAGATTTAAGAAAATTAAACTATTAAATAAAAATACCACGAGAAAGGGGACAGAATATAATTATCTTAGAGAATGAGTAAGAACAAGTTTAACACGAAAACTCTTCTATGCTATTTTTTTCTTATATATATAGTAATATATATGAAGAGGTTATCTGGGTTGCTTGGTTCTGTGTTTTTCTTGTTCTTCTAAACAAGTGCTGGCGAGGGATTGCTTATATTTATTTAATAAAACTTAAAAAGAACTGAAAAAAAACTTTAAAAATTGTACTTAAAAATAACTCAGCCGAAGTTGCTGTGTTCTTCCCAATTAAAGAAGATTTATAAAAGAAAGAGTCCTAAGAAAGAAAGAAGAGGTAAAAGGTTTCAGCTGTATTACATGTATTTTTTGATTATTTTTATTTTTATTTTTTAATAGTTTTTGTCGATAATGATTTGTATACACGTAGGATATATGTATGTAGGTGGTATATAATACACTATACAAGTATTCTTTTGTTATTACTATAAATATAGAAAATAAATAGAATTTAAGATCAATGATTGTGGAATGTGAATTTCCAATAGTACCCTTGTTATTGTGATCCCTATTGGTGTTGGACTTTGGAGTTTGGATATCCACTCACCCTATAAGGTTTTGTATCTTCACAGCTTGTTTGGATGGTTGTTACACATCGTTTCATAATGTATCGTATTGTATCGTACTGTATCGTCTGATGAATGTAATATTTGGATAGATTGTGTCGTTTGCCGATGTTTTACGATATCATGCACCAGCAATATGAAGAATAAATTTACAATATTATAAAGAAAAGTTATGTTACGAGGTAAATTTATTATATAAAAAGGTAGGGTAAATGATAAACTAAATAATTTAATAATAGTGAAGGGTGAGATGAGAGAAAAAGACAAGATAACGATGCAACTACACCAAATCAATCGTTACATAAAGTGACACATTTCATCGTTACGTAACAACGGATTTAACGATACGATACAATAGAATTTAAGTAACAACCAAAGCAAAGGTTGTATTTAAAGTGACAATACAATACGATACAATAGGTAACGACCATCCAAAAAAGCTATCAAATGTTCTTCATTATTTTATTTTATTTAGTTCTGAATATATTTGTTTATGTAAGTACATCTTTTTTTAGTATTTTTTCTTGAAATTGAATTATTTTGGTTAATCATCTTGTATTCGTAGTCCATTCATCTAATTAATTTAAATTCACGTCACGTAGGTTCGCTAAGGAGGTAAAGCACTATTTATCAAGAAATTTTTATATTTTAAGAATCGAACTCGAGTATCTAGTTATAGTATCAGCTAACCAATTTGTACTATTCAAACTCAATTTGTTGAGAAGATAATGAAAAAGCATTAAGGAGCCGACTAAAATTCCAATGTGCTTTTGAGATATCGAGAAGTTGAGAGGCTCCCAATCCTTTTTTATATTTTCTTAATTTTTTCAAAAAGAATTTAGTGCTTATTATATTGGGAAGGTGAAAGGAACCATGATAATTGAATTCGCATCTATTCGATTAAAGATTTTACTGTACTACATGACTATACAAATTATAATTAGATCATCAATACGTTTCAATAAAACTATAAGTCTGTAATATACTCAGATATTCAGTATTTTCGAGCTCGAACTAATACAATATTAAAAGATCTATCAAATTGTGACCAAAAAAAAGGAAAAAGTTGATGAATTGACTTGAAAAGCAAGTTTCTTTTTTTGGATTTCATCACTTTTACTCCGAAAGTCCTCTATATTTTCTTTAAAAGCATTTAAAATTCCAAGACATGTTTCACTCGTTCCTCTTTTTTCTTTTTCTTTTCTCAACCTCTTTTTTTGCTATAAATTCTGCAAATGGTTTCATCCACTTGCAACGATGGATGTCTTCCATAACAGTTTTAGATTGGTTATGTATCCATAACAGCTTTTAGATTGGTTATGTATCTGATGATAGGCTATAATTACGTATTTTAGTCGATTATTACACTCTAATTTACTGCACTTTAGTTGAGTTTGCGCTTTAATCGCTAGTGTTTTGCGCTAATTGTGTGTTTTATGCCTTGTAGGTGTGATTCCGAGCTATATAGATGTTATGGAATGAATTTAAGTGATTTGAAGCTTTGAAGTCTGAGTAAAAGCTCAAGAAATTAAGCCGGGATCGTGTTCGGAGGTCAAATTTGATAATTAAGTACGAACGAAGACTTGAGGAGGCATATTGCGCACTGTCTAGTAAAATAAACATAACGTTTTGCTCAGAACTCCATTTGGGCTCCACAATATATGGTTGGAAAGCTAACTCAAAGGGCTACAACTTTCATGTTTTATGTTTTTCCAAACTCCAAACAGAACAGGGTGAAAAACCGCTCTTTTGCCGCGACCGCGGTAGAAGATGGTCGCGGACAACTGAAGAATCAGGCGGGATTAGGGATAACGAAGCCTTGGGTGCGATCTGAAGTGAGCTGTATTAAAAGCCAGCTAGCGTAGCTCGGGAGAGTGCGTCTAGTAAATTGTCGTAATTACTCGGGAGAGATTTACGGCAATAAGAGTGCTCATGATCGGTAGAGAATACTTAGGCGAAATTATAGAAGACATAGCGGGAAGGATTCCGACAATAGGGGAAATCATAACTCTAGACCTCCTTAATCTTTTCTCGAACCCTCAGTATCGTTAATTGTTAATTTACTATTTTAATTTGTTAGTTAAGTAGTTAAACACAAGAATCTTAATATCTATAAGTTAGGAATTGTTCAAGCTTGTCTTCTTGGTGATAGTGAACAGCTGTAGCTAAACCTTAGTTCTCTGTGGGATTCGACTCCGGACTTGTAAACCGGATTATATTTGCAGCGACCGCTTAGTCCTTTTTATAAGGCATAGTTGGGCGTGATCAAATTTTGGCGTCGTTGCCGGGGAACTAACGGTGTAGTTGTAGCTGTATATATTGCTAGGGTTCAAGTTTGAACTTTTAGTTTGTTTTATTTTTTTATGACTGTTGATTTGAGAAACATGGCATCTTGTAATTATGGGAATTTAGGTGTAGATAATTCTACTATTGATCTCCATACATATTGTGAAGGAAACCACCCGTGGCAAAATTTTCAAAACGTTCCTAAGAGCGAGTTATGTGCACCAACTCAATCTTATTTGTGGAATGTGTGTGATGTGTGTGGTGGTAAAAATGGTCACCTTCATGGTTGTGCTTATATTTTTTATTTTCCCCCAACCCCTTACTATGATGGTTCGACCTTTTCTTGTAAAGTTAATAGGAACAAAGAACCTGGGAATGCGGACCTGAAGGAGATCAAGGATATGCTAAAGTGCCTTCTGGAACAAAATAATGAAAAACAATTGCAGATAGAAAGGCAAGAGGCAACTATTCGCAAGTTGGAGGCTCAATTGAGTCAAGTGGTTGGAGCTTTTAATGCTCAACAAGCCAATATTGAGGATAGTAGCCAAGAAGAGCATAAATTTGAGGTGTTAATTGGGGAGGTCAGAGTAGAACATCAACAACCTAGCCAACTACAATTTGAGGATGTCAATGTTGAAGAAGTGAGACTAGAGCCAGCCAAGGACTTTGAGGATATAAATTTTGTTGACTCTAGTATCATTGATGTTGAGGATGTTGAAAGTCCTGAAGTTCATGTATTTGAGCGCATTGGTCCACACTCCAAGCATTTTTCCACATTATGTTTGGATGATGATATGGAAATAGAGTCATCTGAACCAATCGAAGAGTCGAATGAGGAACAAGGTGCATATATTGTGGAATTCTTCTTGCCAGAAAGTCAGGATTACATACCTCATACAAAGGCCAAGGAGTGCAGAATACTACATTATTTCTTTGGGCCAGTTAGATTCGTTCCACCACCCCAGGAGCATGATCATAGAGCAGAATCAAAACTTGGGGTTCGATTCATAAGTTCAAAGTGGAGGCAGAAAGTGATTCAAGTCGTACCGCGACGTTAAATCAAGCGCTTGTTGGGAGGCAACCCAGCTTTATTGCTTTCTTTTATTTATTTTTTTATTTTTTTATTATATTATTTTTGTAGTGTCAATTTTTTTATTTTCTAGGAGCATGAAAAGCAAAAGTATTGGAAGGATGCACCAACAAATGAAATGGTTGGAACTAAGTGTGAGGTACCCGCATGAAGGACCAAGCTTGGGAGAAGTCTGAGTACCCCATGAACTGCTAGTGCTTTGGCCTTTGGCCTACCAGGGAGTTTCTTTTACCCTCTTGTATGTATGGGTGTGCAATGGGGACAATGCACAATTTTAAGTGTGGGGTGAGGAGATTGTCTGGGTGATTTTTCATGCTACTTTAGCTGTGTTTTAATTAAATAATTTTTTTTTAAAAGATTGGACTTTTCCTGACGGATCTTCTAGACAGTTTTCTTGAGGGAAGTAAGTCTAAAGAAAATACCAAAAAGATTTTTTATTTTGTTAGGTAGTGTAGCAATTACCCCTTGGTTTTTCTTTAAACCACAGTTCTTTTTCAAGGGTTTTATTTGAACCGGGTGTAGATAGTTTTTTTTTTGGGAATAGGAGCCATTGTGTTTTGTTTGAAATGAAGCAATATCTCTTGACTTTGTTGTGCCTTGAGAATAGTGAGTACTTTGGTTGTGATGCTTAGGCTCAGTTTTTGACTCTTGTATAAGTACCTTAAATTGTATGATCTTAAATTTGCTTAACTGCTCTGACTAGGGTGTCTTGATGAATCCAATCCTGAGTGAGTTATGTGTCATGTGTGTGTAAGATTTTGTGATATTATCTGCAGTGCATTTGATGCCTAGAACTTGCCCCGTGTGTTTGCAAAGCGAAATAGTAGTGTTGTTCAGTCTTGGAAGTGATATAGGCTTCTTGTTGAGCCAGATATGTATATTTTACCTGCCTAATTATTATGTATCGTAGTTAACCCCTTTGAGCCTGTAATCCTGTTTCTTTTGCAACCACATTACAAGCCTTACCCATTTGTTCGAATTAACCATCTATTTGAGCCATTGTAACCTCTCATGAGCACGTGAATTATTATGAACTATGTAATAGTTAAAGTGTGGGGTGGTTGGTTTGGCTTTTGAGTGGAACTAATGAAATAAGGAGAAATGTGCACTGTTTTGAAAAAGTAAGAGCTACTTGAATTGGAAAAAGAAATAGTTGGATTCTTGTGGAAAAAAAATTCCTTGGTAAGTGGTGGCTCTTGATGTAAGTGTGTTTAAAGAAGAATGGGGTAATATACATTGATGTGAAGGTGGAGTTTTGGTTTGACATAAGTATGGGGTTTGAATGTTAAA